AACAAGAGGATCTAATTCTGGTGTAGAGATCTGCAGTGATTTCAAATCTACCCTCTTCTACAATTGCTTTTCATATAAACGTTAAAGAAAAAGTGCACAGGGAATATTACACTTTGAATTTTCTCAGCCAGTAACATGTTAGTATGGCAGAGCTTGGGGAAGGTTGCTCAGAATCTGTGAAATTAGCATGACATATCAACATCTGTGGGAAACTGTTGACTTGTTCACGACAGTGTGCCAAAGACTATGACATTCTGACATAGTAAGAGGTGATCGACTTAAATCCTAGAGTCAAATAATTCTTTTTTAAGGACAAGTTTTATTGATTTTATGTGTATACAAGTGTGTATTGTGTACCACATGTTTGCAAATTCTCACAGAGGCCAGGAGAGAAATCAACTTTTCAGGAACTAGAGTTGCAGACAGTTGTCATCTGCTTGGCATGGACCCTGGGAATTCAACCTGGGTACTCTTCAAGACCAGAAAATACTCTTAATGACTCAGACATCTCTCTAGCCCCAAGACTATACAAATATTCCTAAATATTAAACATTTTTTTCCTTGAACGATAACACCGACATTCTTCAGAACTAATATTCTGTGGGACACATTTCCAGAAACACCACATTTTAGAAGTTTTATAAAATTCTGCTCATGAATTCTTTACCAGGCTCATTCTGCTCTCCATTAACTTCTGTGCTTTTTATAGTTATAAGGTATACTGAGCGATTCATCCTGGGGTACAGCTCCGACACAATATTTATAGCATAACAATTCCAAGGTAAATGAATCCAGTTGTACTGTTAAAAATTATCCAGATCCGGATAGATAAAGTTGTCTTTGAACAAACAGTATGCTAAAATCTGGCCTCCACATATCATTGAAATTAAGCCGGAAACTGCAAGTAAATAAAAGGAAAGTTCTGGTTAACTGCCAGTAATGAATAATTCATTGGTAAGATTATGAATAAGAACAATTGCCATCACTAAAATAATGTTCCTGAAACTGACATAGCATTTGCAATGAAGTCATTTACAGAATCAGTGAAGAGAGCATATATTCTGGGGCTGGTAAATCATTGAAATTTAGAACTTCCTTCGGGGAACAGGCACAAATCAATAGTAAGGAGCCCTTAAAACTCAGCAGCTTAGAGGCAGTGATGTCAGAGCTCATGCCAGATAATTCACAATTCTTAATTCAGCTTTTCTGCCTGCCGTATGCTTGTGTTGTTACCGATCTCTTGTTCTAGACAGAGTCCATGTTAGACCCAACAATCCCCGTTCCTCTGTCTCAGGGGTGCTAACATTTCAGATGTGTTTCACCTGATCTGGCACTCATTTTGTCTATATTTCTACTATGTAACACAGGTATATGAGTGTGTGCGCACATACACATTTATAAAGAATTTTTAAAAAATTATAGTAGGAAATCATCCACATTAAGTATAGGAAGAGTTTTCAAAGCCAGAATTCAAGCTATCCGTGCTATTTGGTTTAATGAAAACAGTTTTAGTTCTTGTTTCATTTGCCCAATGATTCTTGTTTGCTTTAAAATATAGATCTAACCACTATTGATCCAATTACAGAGTTCTCATAAATCTGCTGGTCCATCTATGCCAGTAACAGCATAGCGCCCATGACAGGTAAGGCTCCCTGAGATAGAAATCTGGAGGACTGCTGCTTTCCTCACATACAAAGACACATGTCCAGGGAGAGACCCTGATAACCTCCCCAGATATTTAGACATTTTAGTCTGCTACCTGCAGTTTTACTCAAAGGAAAACAAGGAAGACCCTGTCGGGTGTCATACTGTGGCTGTAGTCTGAACAATCCCATTTATTACAACAGCCCCAGCCATGAACACTGATATAGCCAGTCTATTATGTCCAACAGGCAGCTTACTCTGGAATTGAGTTGGCATTCTCTGAGTTGGAGACAATCAGGGTACAGTAGACTCTGTGTGTTGTAGGAATTGAGAGGAAAACATAGTTTCTGCAAAATTATTTTCCTGTTCTGGGAACAAAACCCAGACCTTACAGAGGCCAGGCAGACACTTCGTAATTGTGCCATATCCCTAACCTCCATGTACAGCCACCCCCAAACCCCTGTTTTTTTGTTTTTTTTCATTTCAGAAACTCTCTTTGAAGCTTATTAACATTCATATCTTTGAAAGGTTTATGCCAGATGAAACCTCACGACTTTCTATGTGTATTATTAAACAATAATGCAAAAAAACTAGGAAGTTAAGACTTCAGACTTGCCAGGCAGTGTGGCACATGCCTTTAATCCCAGAACTTGGAATGCAGAGGCAGGTAGTTCTCTGTGAGTGACAGCCTGGTCTACAGAGTGAGTCCAGGACAGCCAGGGTTACACAGAGAAACCCTGTCTCAAAACCAACCAAACAACAAAAACCAAATGACAAAAAAAAAAAAAAAAAAAAAAAGACTTCAGACTTAAGGATATGAAAGTGAGCGGTGAATGTAACTAATACTGGTACTAGAGATAATTGTTGACAACAGCTGGCTGCAGTGAAAGAAAAAGCTTGATTTGTTTTCTTTCTTATTTTTTAAAGATGTATTTCTTTTTATCATATTTGCATGGGTATTTTGCCCAATTATATGTCTTTGCCCATAGATGCCAGGGGAAGGTGTTGGATCATCTGAAACTGGAGTTACAGATAATTGTTAGCTGCCATGTGGGCGCTGGGAACTGGACTCTGAAGAGCAGCCAGTGCTCTTAACTGCTAAGCCATATTGCCACCTCATTTGTTAGCCTTCTTAGTACAGACAGGATCAATAAATTCAGCTTCACATGTGAGTATCAAAAATAGCCAAAAGAGTCTCATTGCTTCTTGTGCTAATGTGGAAATGACAACGACACTTTTAAAGAGAGGAGAGCATGTCACAGATACAGGTCCACAGCTTGATTCTGTATAATCTTGGGATGATAACCATTGCTTAATGGTTGTTGTCTGGCCTACATTAAAATGATCCTTATTTTCCCACTTCATATACTAGTATATATTTAAATATAGGATATGAAAGCGAATTAACATGTGGTATAATCACATTAGAAGATGTGATTTTTACAGTAATCTACAAAAATATATATATATATATATATAAATATATATATATTTAACCTTCTCAGGGTGAAGATTCAGCAGCCTCCCTTATAACATGCTGGCTTATGTTTCCTATTTGAAATGCAAATTCAGTTACTACATTGAAGGAAAATCTCTGGTCCTTCTTGTTATTTCATTAATTCTCTCCATCCTCACACAAGAAATATGCATTGACACCATTATGGTGGCTGTATCCTAAACATGCTAGCAACAGCCCTTAAAGTTGTCTTAACTACTGAAAAATGAAAAGCCATCCTGAAATGTTCTTGTCAAAACTGGAAGCAGGAATTTGCTATTTTTCAATGGAGTTTAGAAACAAATACTTTGGCCTTTGCGTGTCATTTCCTAGGTCCTGTCTTAGACATTTCTGTTGTTTGACCAGACAAGGAGAAACAGTGATCAGAAAGAGACAGAGAAGTTCTCCTAAAGCTGGCTATCCCAGTGGACATCCCAGCTTCTTTTCAACTCCTCTGAACACTTCCCACTGCCTGGGGCTGGCTGCCTCTGCACGGTGTGGTCAGTTCTGCTCTGTCTCTCTCCTGTGCATCCTCGGAGCTATCTGCAGGATATGCCCTGGGTATCTACACAAAGGTGCCACTGACAATTATCTGCAACACACAAACACATATATACAAGTGCTCCTTATAAGGACTTACCGCAGTGGTGCAAAAACTCCATTCACTCGACCCCAAAGGCTTTGTTTGCCACATTTAAAAAAAGTAGAATATAATACCCACAGAATTGCAGTAAAGATTAGTGCGATAGGTGCGGTGGCCCTGGCTCATATTAAATAGTCAATAAACCTAAGTATTTCAGTTCGGTGTGGGCCATTAAAAACTGAATGGCAATACCAGAATATGTTTGGGTTTGCCTGCTGTTTGCAAAACAGATTGAAAATATTAGACAAGATTACTGCCAAGTCAAGAAAAATAATATTTCTTAAAAATTACATAATCATTGTATTCAAAAGCCAAATACAACAGATTTATAAGTAAATAGTTTCCATACTTGACAAACACTGAAATCTGTTTAGATATGCTGAGCTTCGCTTTATATGGTTGTTTATTAGTATAAGCAAATGGTTGATCTGAGACCCTACTTCTTCCTGACTTTCTGATTATTACACAATATAACTAAGAAAGAAAACGGACACCAACTGTCTCATTTCCTGCATGTCTTCTGTTTATCTCGATTTTCCTACTTAAGATTTCTATGGGATCCAACTCTGAGACACACATGGGATTTAGATTCATTTCTTTAGAGCTAAGAAGGTGCTACATATGGGCAGCTGTGGTTTTAGTTAAGGGTCACGTAAAACCAAAAAGGATCGGGCCATTTTGATCCTCTGTAGGCCAGCAAAGCCCGCACTGCCTGATTGCCACTTGGGGCGGCTGTGCTCCATTTCGGCCCTCAGGATCGAAGGAATGAGTTCCGTTCTAGGCCACTGTAACCTCGTTTCCACTTACTTACCTTCTTACATGTTGCTCAATACATAAAGAGAAATGGATGTTAGTCCTTTGTTGATTCAGACTACATCAAAATGAGAAGAAGAGTATAGGTGTGTGTGTGTGTGTGTGTGTGTGAGAGAGAGAGTGAGTGTGTGACTGATCTGTTTTTAGATACAAACACATGCTAAAAATGTTTCCTGTCTGGTGTGGATTATATATGGGCTGTTCTGGAAGTATTCATATGCCGGAAGAGACAATTAGTTTAGTCTACCTTTAATAAATGTGTATGGTTTTTATTATCTAGACAGCATCATTGTCACTATCTCAGAGAATAATGTAATAAAATCTATGTCTGAGATACAGTTCATTTCCAACATTTATTCTACCTAACGTTGTTTTTGCACGTTACAGGATCTAAACTTGAGCCATTCATGTACCTAAAGCAGCCCACCAATGTGACGTCAAGGGGAATTCCGCCATCACTGCAATAGAAAAAAATGCTAAAGTTAATTTACAAAAGCATTCGGTTTTGTTAACTTACCAGAAATGGTTATGTTTGGTCAAACCATATAGCAAAGCACATTTTTATCCACATTTGTAAAACCGTGTAGACTAAATTTGTTAGGCTGAAAAACAGTGAAGGAAACCTGTGAGAGAGGTGAGACTGATTCTACCCTTTTAGCAAAAGGTAGAACAGCAGAGCCAATGTATTTTATTTTGACCCCCAAGATCACCAGAAGAAACATTTTAGAAATGGTGTTCCTTTTTAATGTTTATTCTGTGTGTATGTGTGTGTGTGGGTGTGTGTGTGCTTGCTCTCCCACGATGTACCTGTGTGCATGCCCATTTTAAATACGGCTATGCACACACCACGGCATACGTGTGGGGGTCCAAAGATGACTTGTGGGAATGAATTCCTTCATTTCCACCATGTGAGTCCCAGAAATTGAACTCAGGTCTTCAGACTTAGCGGCCAGCAAGTTTGCCTGCTGAGTCATCTTAGAATGCAGGCTTAGAATGAAAACTATTAAAAATAACCACCAACTTGTAAATATAATAGGTTTCCTTAGTTTTCTCCACCTTTGGTCTCAGGAAGATTTTTGGAAGGAAAATATTTCTTCAGGAGGCAAAGCCTATAGAAAAGGCGATGACCAATGTGAGAAGAGGAGGGTCTTTGGCATGTTGGTACAGCTCTGGACCCGAAGAATTGGTCAAAACCTTTCCCTGAAAGCAGAGCAAGTTCAACCCTTAAGAGTGTTTTGAATACATTAAATGTAATACACGCTCATTGTTTTCACCACTTTGTCTTGCTGCATGTCAATGAGGTAGTGCACCATTACATGTAAATCAAGTGTCCCTACCACCTTTTTTTGGTCTTGCTTACCAGCTGTTGTGATGATTACGTGAAGGATAGTCACAGAAATGGCATAATCCCAAACCCATTCTTCTACAATCAGAGCAAAAAGCAACCCACACACAAAGTAGGTGACTTCTGTTGAGACTAAAAGAACTGCAAACAGAAGAAAGAATATGATTGTTTGTATTTAGAACATTTAATGACCCTGAAATACAATTAACACAATATCATAAAACCTTAATCTGCAAAAAAAGTATCTTAAATTTAATTTAAAAAAAAATGAGAATTGTATACTTGAATACTGTATTTATATTCTTTTCTCTCCCAGGCTCTTACCTTGCTTCCCCACATTTCCTCTGAAATTCATGACCTCTTTTTCTTTCATCATTATTGTTATGTGCCTATGTGTATGTGTGTATGTTCACATAAATACAGCCTGCAGAGTCCATTTACTATTGCTCATCTGGTTACCTAAGCAAGACCTTCGCAAAGCTAAGACTGGTTGACAAGCCAGCATGGGTGGGGAGTTTCAGCTAATCAGTGGCTTCTGGGAGGGAAAGAATCAGTCTTCCCCAGAAAAAAAAAAAAAAAAAAAAAAAAAAACCCTGACACGCTATCCGAGCTCAAGTGATCACTCTAACTACGTGCCCATGTGTGCAAAGAATTTCTGATGAAAGCTTTGCAAATGTTCTCTTACCCAACCTCAAACAGGCATAAGAACTTTTGACATTTCATATCTTCATTATCTTTACATTTTTAGAAAAATAACAATATAATTTGGCCCACGGTTTTAGTCGTTAGCATTGAAATAAAGTTACGACACAGTCCATGCGTGCAGACCTGCTATTGACTTATACATGTAATTTTTTAAAGAATTACATATTAGTGAAATTAATGGAAGGATTCAGCTCTGAGTCTTTAGAAATAAAAAAGAATGGGTTTATTTATTTGTGTGTGTGTGTGATTTTTAAAAAATTTTTATTTGTTACAATTTATTCACTTTGTATCCTGGCTGTGCCCCCCTCTCTTATCTCCTCCCAATCCCATCCTCCCTCCCTTTTCTCCCCCTATGCCCCTCTCCTAATCCACTGATAGAGGAAGTCCTCCTTCCCTTCTATCTGACCTTAGCCTATGAGGTCTCATCAGGACTGGTTGCATTGTCTTCCTCTGTGGACTAGCAAGGCTGCACAACCCCACAACCCAGGGGGGAGGTGATCAGAGAGCCAGCCACTGAGTTCATGCCAGAGACAGCCCGTGCTCCCCTTACTAGAGAATCCACTTGGAGACTGAGTCTATGGGCTACATCTGAGCAGGGGTTTTAAGTCCTCTCTATGCATGGTCATTGTTGGGGTATCAGTCTCTGCAGGGCCCCCAAGGCCCAGTTTTTTTTTTTTTGTTCTGTTGTTCTCCTTTTGGAGCTCTTATCCCCTCCAGGTCTCTTCTTTCATAAAATTCTATACACTTTGTCCAGAATGGGTTTATTGAATGGTATTTTTTTTTTCTTTTGGTCCATGCAGTGCTTAACTTGGAAATAAGTTCTGTTGTACTTCTGTTGTGGGATGACGTGGTGTCCAGGCAGTCATCTGAGAAGCCTTATTTATTACCATAAGTGACACAAACCCTCATCAATGACAGGTGTGGCTGGCAACCCTTCTAAACCCAGTGGATGTCACCTAGAGTTTTCCCTGAATAAATATTAAAATATACTATTTACAGGTCAGAACACAAATCTTGGTGCCTTGGGCGTGTGAAGTGGCAGCCTTTGGCCTTTTGGATGGCTTTTGAGCAAGATACTAGTTTCAAGGAGGAGATCAATCAAACTTTAAAAGAACAACTGTATTTGATATGCCACTGTAGTCCCTTCTTTGTAAATAATAGCACTCCCCGGACAATTCCTTTCCCTTCACTTTAAAACCTGTCAAATGATTGTTGTGTTCACATAATCCTGGAGTCAATAAATGTAGGCAGGCAAATGTGATCTTTTGCAGAGCAGAAAGTAAAATAATCACCCTATTTCCTACAGTGCGGAGGTAGTTTATTAACTAGCAAACCAGAGGCCGCAGAGGACAATACAAAAGACGTCTAGTGAGCAAGTCCCAGGCACTGTCTGTGTAAGGCATTGCTTATGTTCCTGTTCAGTCTTATTCCATTTAACTCTATAGGTATTGGAAGGTGAATGGAGAATCCAAATCAACTTCTTTTTCTATGGCATGAAAATTCCTTTCACTGATGTACATCAGGTCAACCTGTCCATCAGGTCTGTGTGTCCTGCACACCAAAGCCAAGGAAGAAAGTATCCTGCTGTATTTTCCTGACTTCGCCTAGTACCCATCCCTCCTCCTTCTGATTTTTTTTTTTTTTTTTTAGAGATGGGATCTGACTATGTAGCTCTGGCCATCCTGAAACTTGCGCTACCTAGACCACACTGGCCACGAACTCACAGAGATCCATCTGCCTCGGCCTCACATCTTGACATATTTCTATTGCTAACATTTGGAGATTTTGTAAGTCAGGCTGCTTGTAGAAGGTGAATTTAGTCTTGCACAAGCTGCACTTGCACATATCGGTAACGAACCCTTAAGCTTTGTTTATGGTTTGAAAGAAAACACAACTTGAGGTACAAAACCTGAGGTCAGGGTCCCAGCAATGGAGTATCATCTCTACTAGGTTAGGTGTTGGAGCTCAGTCTGTGCGATACAACACAAAGCTGTCAGCAATGCCCTGATCTAACGGGCTGCACATGTTCCAACACCAGGGCTAAACCTGGTCTTCTGGCTCACAGGACTGTGGAAACAGACCAGAAGCTTGACCGTAAATCCAACACCAGTGCTTTGAGGTTACCAGGACAGCTCAGATCCAAATTCAGACAAGCCTAAATTCTCATAGCAACGAAACTAAAGGGTTATGACTTTATCCCTAAAAGCCCCCCCCCCCCAATTAAAGATTTAATAGGTTATGGACCTACTGATATCTTCAAGCAAATATTCATGTGTCCTGACAGAAAATAACATTGCGACCTGAGTTACATACCTCAGGGCCTTCACTGACACCTTTACTGTAAATAAACAGTCTCCTCCAATAAGCTGATGCTGCTCTATGTTCAATGACTGACTGAAAGGCCAGAAGAAACATGAAGAGTTGGGTTTTAACTGTCTCCCCTACTCCAAACACATGGATGGTCCCCAGTTGACTCCGCCTTTCTGTAACTAACTCTTTCATCATGTTGGAAGAGGCTCAGGGCAAAAACAAACCCCATTCAATGCGGAAGTGTGAAGAAGTTACTAGCATGTCTGACATCTTACATCTTGTTACCCTAAACATCTCCGTTCTCACAGATTCTCTGCTACCCAAAATTGAATCAATCATGGCCCCCAAACAAGGTTATCCATTGGAAGAAGACTTCTTATTAGCATTCAGTAATTCTAGCTGACCAAGTTTCCCATACAAATCATATTTGAATTCTGCTTTTCCTAGCTTCGGGCAATTTTGTACATTTCCATAACTTTCCCCAGGGGAAAAAAAAAAAAAAAAACATTCCATGGTTTTCTAGTGAATTTTAATGTTTAAAGCATCAACAATACATTTTTAAAAATAGGACAAAATTTAACAGAATATTCAGAATAACTATAGCGAGAGAGTACATTTATAACATTTCTTTTTTCTCCCTTCCTATATCTATCTAGATTTTTTTCGTTTGTTTGTTTGTCTGTTTGTTTTTCTAAGATAGGATTTCTCTGTGTAACAGCCCTGGCTATCCTGGAACTACGTGTTTTAAGCTTTCCTAATTAATGTGGTTTATTTTACAATGAAAAAAATGAGGTTAAACTTGAGCTTTCTAGAAAATGAAGCAAACTCATCGTGAATGCCCCTATACACCTGTGCTCTGTGTGTAATCAGAACGAAGGGGTTCACCTATTAACACACCAGCTTAATTTGTGAATTTATGAGATACAAGTTATTCATTGTGCTAATACACAAAATTTAAGAGAGCCAAGTTTTTTCTAAGTGTATATTCTTTCTTAATGTTTCCCGTTGCAATATAGTAGATTTCTTACTTTTTATTCTACGCACAGTAACTGTGGCTATTTATGGAACACAGTGTGGCATTTCAATACATGTAGGTGATGTGTAATAGATAGTTCAGGCTATCTGGCATATCTGCAGTCTCAGATAATACATATTATTTTGTTGTGTTAGAAGCATTCCAGATCTTTCCACTAGCTATTTTGAAATGTCCAATTAATTGTCAGCAACCCAAATCATCCTTCTGTGCGACAGATCATTTTCTTTGCAACAAAGTCTGCATTGTTTAGAGAAGAAATATAAAAAAGCAGAAATGTGCAAAGAGGAAAATGAAGGTTCTCTGTCACCACCACTGGGAGAGCATGGCGTGCTGCAAGATTTTCTAGGCTTCTTTCCTAAAAAAAAAACAAAACAAAACGAGATGACACCGTACAAACTTCTCCTCATTCAGTTTCATGTCTCACAGATGCTTTATATATCAGCACATTGCCATTTTTCTTCCTTTTCTTTAAAATGTATTTACTACAATGAGAAACAAGCAGCATGAAAGCAGGACAGATGAAGAACAGAACCATACCAACAAAGAAGAGGCAGGGAAGATGGGGGAGGAGAGGAGGGAAGAGGAGATTGAATAAGAGTAAACTATAATGACACATATGTATGAAAATGCCATAATGCTGTGCATATATTGTGTGCATGTGTTCACCAGTAATAAAATGAACTAAAAATTCACGTTGGAATGTAAGAATTCTAACTCCCTACCTACACTTATGCCATTCTTATCCATCTCCTATTCACTTAAATTTCTTGGTGCTTCATGCATGTGAAGGCCAGAGACCAACTTTCAAGAGTTGGCCTTTTCTTTTTACCACATGGGTTGCAGGGTTCTAATTCAGGTTTTCGTATTTATTGTCAAGAAATTTTATCCCCTGGGCCACTTCGATGGCTCCACTTTAAAAACTTTGATGATACTTTTCCTAATGAAGTTATAACATCCAGAATAGTCAAAGAAAAGCTTAATGTTTTCGCACTTTCTACTTAACAAAATATTTTATTTTTGCTTGCATTTTGTTCAGTTACTGATAAGGATTAAAAATTTAAAACAATTACCTTTATAGTTTGTGTTAAGCCAAGAAGGTCGTGTTTTGAAATCAAATGGTGCCAGAATATCCAGCTCACATGCCCTGCGAAGTTACAGATGAAAAGTTTGCTGTGAGAGAGACCATTCTGAACTGTGCATCAAAGCTTTGCTGCTCACTCTTCACATCCACGACGGGTCACTTGATTTACCCTGGCTGAGCACATTTTAAAACTGGTTGGCAGGATGGCCACCAATGAACAGTTTGTCTGTATTACCTTCTCTGCTCAATTAAATCTACCTTTTCAGGACCATAGAGCTTTCCCAGGAGCTAAGAGAGATTATTACTCTCATAGGTGACTGAGGTTCAGTGCCCAGCATTCAGCTGGCCCCTCACAACCACCTGAAACTCCCAGAATAACACCTTCTCTCTGGCCTTGGTAGGTTCCTGCACAAGTGTGCTACATATAAACTCATGCAAGCACACACACCTATACAGAAGAGTGATGGTGAAGATGGTGATGATGGTGATGATAATATTTAAATCTACTTTGCTCATTAAACAATCTTAATTATATTTGAGGCCTCAGCTGTAAGCTTGATAGTTCCACCCAATGAATAAGGGGAGACTTCTAAGATGGAGAGAACAGGGTCTTGGAAGCCAGAAGACACAAACTTGAACAAATCATTTAACTTCTCTTGACTTCAGTTTTTTTTTAATATTAATAATGCTATTTATTGGTTTAGATATACATGTGTTTTCAGTTTGCTGTCAGCCCAACATCCATTACTACACAGAAGAACTGGACAGTATGGCAGATGCCTAATCTTCTAACAAGCTCTTTTGCCTTATAGAAAAGAAAGTGCAGCTCCTTAGGAACTAACTTTATTTAAGGTAAAGACCATTAAAGTTGTGATTTTATTGCTTTATAAAAACCAGAGAAGTTTGTAGAATACCAGGTTTAGACTTTTGCACTTAGAAAAAAAGAGATTGTAAATTACAGATCAGAAATATGTGCCCCCACAGTATATTTACCCCTATTTTTAAAGTTTGTGGGGTTTTTTTTAGAATCTTTATGTTTTCTCAATTTTATATTGATATTTAGAAACAAAGATAAGAATTCCTGTTACAAATATAGTAAGCAAAATACTCATAGAATATTTTTCAAAACATGAAGCGTAATAGAAGTCAACAAAGTTGGACACAGTGTTTCTCCAGGTTTTCTTCTAGGATCTTAGCCACTTGTTAATTGTAGACTAGTTACTATGAGAATTGTCTTTTTAATTAAATTTTTATTTTTTATACTAATTACAGTTTACTCACTCTGTATCCCTGCTGAAGCTCCCTTCCTCATTCCCTCCCAATTCCATCCTTCCTCCCTCATCTCCTCCCTGCCTCTCTCCAAGTCCACTAATAGGGGAGGTCCTCCTCCACTTCCATCTACCCCTAGTTTATCAGGTCTCATCAGAAATCACTGCAATGTCCTCTTCTGTGGCCTGGTAAGGATGCTCCCCACTCACGGGTGGGGGTAGCCAAAGAGCCAGCCATTGAGTTCATTTGACTTCAGTTCTTAACCATAAATTAAAAAGGTTATTCTGTGAGGTTTTTCCCCCCTTTTCTTAAAGCTGAGTCTATAAATTATACACCTGGACTGGACTTCGGTAAGGGTTAAAATCACGGGCAGCTGGTCAACCAATTAGCTGCTGCCAGCAACTTTAAGGTCCAATTATCTCATATTCTTCATACCTGCTGGGAACGGTAGAGCTCACTCAAAATCTCGTCTCTTGATAAGTTAAGGCTGGAGGACTAGCCTTCAGACTGGGGCTGGGGCTAGCCTGAGTCAGACTGTCTCAAAAACAAAGATAGAACAACAAGAAAAGCAATATGACATCGGATCTGCACATAATCTGAGTTGTGTGTATTTAAAAGCAGCAAATACAAAAGCTAAGTACAATGGTACACATTGGTTTGTTTGTTTGTTTTTGAGACAAGTTTCTCTGAATAACAGCCATGACTGTCTTGTAACTTACTCTGTAGACCAGCCTGGCCTCACATAGACCTGCCTGTCTCTGCCTCCCCAGTGCTGGCATTAAAGGCATGTGCCACAAGCCCAGGGTAATTGTACCTCCCAGTAATAGGGAGGTGCAGGGTGGAGAATAAGAAGTCTGAAGTCAGTCTGGACTATACTGAGAGACTCTGTTTCAAGCTTCCCCCACCAAATAAACAAACAAGCAAACAAACAAACATTCCTTACCACTGACTCATAATTCAAAACCTTGAACTCCTGTGCCCAGAAAGCTGGGAAGAGTAGGAATAGTTTTCAGTATCTCTAGCCCCAGGCCACAGATGACATTATGTGTATGTACTGTGTGGGTTTGTCGGCCAGCATGCCAAATAACATATTCTTTCTATTGCAAAAGTCCAGTGATTTATTTTTGGAATTAATTTGCATAGTGAAATGGAATTCTGTGCTTTCATAGTAAAATTAAATTGCATAAATACTCAAGTTATAGGAAGTTAATTGTAAATAGACATAATTTAGTTCAAGGAAATTGTATTGGCAACTTAAATTCGCAGAGAAAAATTTCAGAGTAAGATAAAAAAGTATGTGGCAAAATGCCTCAAACTGACAAATTATATCATTAATACCCATGGATTGGGTTGGAGAGATGACTTGGTGGGTAAATACACTTGCTGCTAATCCTGATGACCTGTCTTAGATCCCTTAGATGCACAGGGTAGAAAGCTGTGTGGGGTACATTCATTGTCCCACACCCACGGTATAAATAAATATACATATAATTTTAAAGCAAACGAATTATCTAATTTTCCCCTCATGATAGCCCTTTTTTAGACTATGACTTCCCTTAGACAAATATAGACTCTGAAATAGGTAAACTTGTATGGTTTATTAAAACAAATCAAGAATGGACTGGAGTGATGGCTAAAGAATTAAGGGTGCTCACAGCTTTCGTGGAAGACACGTTTAGTTCAGTTTCCAGGACCCACATCAGGTGGCTCACAAGTTGCCTGTACCACTAGTTCCAGAGCATCTTACCTCTTCAGTACTCTGCAGGTATCTGCCTATTGGTGATGGCTCATAAATGCACACACAATTATAAAAACCAATCAGTTGATCTTTTAAAAAATGAATCAGGAAGTTAGTAAAACCTTGGCCAGAATGCATCCCTGGCTCACTGTCCAATACTATGTCCAGCATGTTTGAGAAAACACTTAAATGAACGTTGGCTATCTCTCAGTTGTTGTCTGGTGCACACCTCTCTCTGATTCAGTACCAGCCCTGATAGCATGGCTTCACCTTTCCTGGCAGTATGACAATCCTGCCTGGCTCTAGCTTTGTTCATGGCTGTGACTTTGGTCATTTTTGAAGGTTGAATATTAGTTTATGTTTACTTTAAAAACATTTTAAGTGTCATTAAGAATCTACAAGCTGTAAGCCATCAAGCCATGTCAAGTACTAAGTACAAACTACTTTCAGTCAAAGTCCACTTGTAAATTGTGCTGGAAGACAGCATGGCACTTACCTGGGTGCCAGGCAGCAGGTACTCAGCGACAGGTAGTAAACAGTGTAGAATAAGATGACACAGACCAGAAGGCGCTGCAGAGCCACCTGTGGAGAGCCAGGCAGAGAGAACCAAAGGTCTGAGCTTTCACACACGATAACTGGCTCAACAAAGAGAAGACAAGTAACTACTATGTAGCACTGGTAAGCTACATATTACTTGGAGACTCATGGATGAAAGGGAGTGAAAGAACATTGTGATCCTGTCTCAGACACAGTGAGTTGCTGCATCCCACCGTTACCCCCTCACACCAAAGATCAGTGCCACACACACCCTCCATTCACCTGGACAAATTTCCTACATGTCAATGGAATTGGTCATTTTTCTCACTGCTGTGACAAACTGCCAGACAAAAAAGCAACTTGAGGAAGAAAAGGTTTATTTAGGTTCGCAGTTGGGGCAGGGAAAGCATGGTGACAGGAGCTTGAAGCAAGCCAGTCTTCTTATGTCTCTGGTCAGAAAGGAGGCAGAGATGAACACCGGTACCTAGCTCATACTTTTTTTTTTTTTAACTTTTATTAGTTACACTTTATTCACTTTGTATTCCCCCCCCCATAAACCCCTCGCTCCTCCCCTTCTAATACCACCTTCCCTCCCCCTTTTTCACGCATGCCCTTCCCCAAGTCCACCCATAGGGGAGATCCTCCTCTCCTTCCTTCTGATCTTAGTCTATCAGATCTCATCAGGCGTGGCTGCATTGTCATCTTCTGTGGCCTGGTAAGGCTGCTCCCCCCTCAGGGGAGGTGATCAAGGAGCAGGCCAATCAGATTATGTCAGAGGCAGTCCCTCTTCCCATTACTATGGAACCCACTTGGACACTGAACTGTCATGGGCTACATCTGTGCAGGGGTTCTAGGTTATCTCCATGCATGGTACTTGGTTGGAGTATGAGTCTCTGGAAAGACCCCTGTGTTCAAATTTTTTGGTTCTGTTGCTCTCCTTGTGCTCTTCCTGTCCTCTCCAGATCTTACTATTTCCCACTTCTTACATAAGATTCCATGCACTCTGCCCAACAGTTGGCCATAAGTCTCAGCGTCTGCTTTAATAATCTGCAGGGCAGAGCCTTTCAGAGGCCCTCTGTGGCAGGTTCCTAACTTGTTTCCTGTTTTCTTCTTCTTTTGATGTCCATTCTCTTTGCCTTTTGGGATGGGGATTGAGCATTTTTGTCAGAGTCTTCCCTCATGATTAGTTTCTTTAGATGTACAGATTTTAGTAGGTTTATCCTATATTATATGTCTATATGAGTGAATATATACCGTGTGTGTCTTTCTGTTTCTGGGACAGCTCACTCAGGATGATCCTTTCCTTTTCACCATTTACCTGCAAATTTCATGATTTCCTTGTTTTTCATTGCTGAGTAATATTCCATTGTATAGATATACCACAATTTCTGTATCCATTCTTCAGTTGAGGGGCATCTGGGCTGTTTCCAGCTTCTGGCTATTACAAATAAAGCTGCTACAAACATGGTTGAGCAAATGTCCTTATTGTGTACTTGAGCCCCTTTTGGATATATGCCTAGGAGTAGTATGGCTGGATCTTGAGGAAGTGCTATTCCTAGTTGTCTGAGAAAGCACCAGATTGATTTCCAGAGTGGTTGTACAAGTTTACATTCCCACCAGCAGTGGAGGAGGGTTTCCCATTCTCCACAACCTCTCCAGCATGTGTTGTCACTTGAGGTTTTGATCTTGGTCATTCTGATGGGTGTAAGGTGAAATCTCAGGGTTGTTTTGATTTGCATTTCCCTGATGGCTAATGAGGTTGAGCATATCTTTAAGTGTTTCTCTGCCATTCGATATTCCTCTATTGAGAATTCTCTGTTTAGCTCTGTTCCCCATTTTTTAATTGGATTACTTGGTTTGTTGCTTTTCAGCTTCTTTCGTTCTTTATATATACTGGGTATTAGCCCTCTGTCAGATAAAGGGTTGGTGAAGATTCTTTCCCAATCTGCAGACAAGGCAAGGCTGCCCACTCTCTCCATATATATTCAACATAGTTCTGGAAGTCCTTGCTAGAGCAATAAGACAGTTGAAGGAGATCAAGGGGATAAAAATTGGAAAGGAAGAAGTCAAATTATCACTATTTGCAGATGATATGATAGTATACCTGAGTGACCCCAAAAATTCTGTCAAGGAACTCCTACAGCTTATAAACACCTTCAGCAAAGTAGCTGGATACAAAATTAACTCAAAAAATCAGTAGCCCTCCTGTATACAAAAGACAAAATGGCTGAGAAAGAAATTAGGGAAACAACACCCTTCACAATAGCCACAAATGACATAAAGTACCTTGGTGTAACCCTAACCAAGCAAGTCAAAGACTTGTACAAAAAAAATTTCCGGTCTCTGAAGAAAGAATTAGAAGAAGATATCAGAAGATGGAAAGATCTCCCATGCTCATGGCTTGGCAGGATTAACATAGTAAAACTGGCCATTTTAGCAAAAGCAATCTACAGATTCAATGCAATTCCCATCAAATTACCAACACAATTCTTTATAGACCTTGAAAGAAAAATTCTCAACTTCATATGGAATAACAAGAAACCCAGAATAAAAGATCTTCTGGAGGTATCTCCATCCCTAATCTTAAGCTCTACTATAGAGCAACGGTAATAAAAACTGCATGGTACTGGCATAGAAACAGAATAGTGGATCAATGGAACCAAACAGAAGACCCAGAAATAAACCCACACAGTTATGGACACCTGATCTTTGACAAAGATGCCAAAACTATTCAATGGAAAAAAGATAGTATCTTCAACAAATGGTGCTGGTCTAACTGGATAACTACATGTAGAAAAATGCAAATAGATCCATACTTATCACCCTGCACAAAACTGAAGTCCAAGTGGATCAAAGACCTCAACATAAAACCAGACACACTAAACCGCTTAGAAGAAAAAGTGGGGAAGACCCTTGACCTCATTGGCACAGGAGACAACTTCCTGAACAGAACACCAACAGCACAGGCTCTAAGAGCAACAATCAATAAATGGGACCTCATGAAACTGAAAAGCTTCTGTAAAGCAAAGGACACCGTCATCAAAACAAAACGAATACCTAGCTCATTCTTTTGTGTACAGCATCCCAGCCCAACATCCCAGCCCATGGACCAGTGCTGCTAGTATGTCCATTGAGTCTTACCACCTCACTTAAAACAGTTTACAAGCCACCCTCCTAGGCATATGTATAGATTTGTTTCCAAGGTAATTCTAGATTCTCTCAAGGTGACAATCAATGGGGACCATCACACCGATGTTTATATTCTGACTTGACAAAACCATACTACATCACAGATATAATACTAAAACTAGTAAGAAGAGGCTGTTTTGAAATAGCTCCCCCCCAAATATATAAAATAATGCAACTACTGAGTCTGTTTGCAAGAATCTTCAGAGCAATTGATTAAAACACAATAGATGGTTTTGAAATGGACCCTCCCCACACACATGTGAGGCTTACCAGAAAGCAATACAAATTAATGGAGACCAATGGATTATTCAATAAAAGATGTGAAACTGTCTGGCTTCCAGCTAGAAAAAAAAATCCCATTAGATTCCAGTCTTGTACCAAACACCATAATAAATTTCAAAATGGATTAAAGGCTTAAGTGCTGAGGAAGAGATTTGGGGAAAATATTTGAAACATATATATCACAGGGGAAAAAAGGCTTGATATTTACCATATAAATTCCTATGAATAGAAAAGGCAAACAAACTAACAGAAAAAATGATCACAGCATATAAATACATGTTTCATGTGAAGAAACACTTAAAAACCCAAGAACCAACAAAAGATTGCTGAATTCACCACCTATAAAAATATATTCTTATGAAAATGTCAACATTTCATATAGGAAATTTAAAATTTATTCCCTCTTCTTTTGAATTTGTTTAAAATCTTTTTTTTTTTTTTTTTTTTTGCTAAGCCAACACACAATGCTTTAGGAATCAGTTTTTCCTGGATGATAGATTCACTGAGTTCATCCTATGTGATTGGCCTGGATACAGAGGAGCTCTCCACTAGAAGGAAGGGAAAGTGATTAGTGAAACACAACACAGCTGATTTTGTGTAACAAGGGAAAGTGATTAGTGAAACACAACACAGCTGATTTTGTGTAACAAGGGAAAGTGATTAGTGAAACACGCCACACCTAATTTTGTGTAACAAGGGATTTCAGTTAGTGTAACATACCACATCTAATTCTGTAATGGACAGATTTAGCAAGAATTTATCTCTTTCAACTATCTAAAAGTAATAAATGAGCAACCTTCTCTAAGAGGACTTCAGTACTACCAGGTTCTGAGATCTTTGAGACCTGCCCCACCCCAACTCAATCTATCCTCAACCTCTCCTCCTCTCTCCTGTATTTCTCATGCCTGCTCACCGGATTGCTTCCTTCTGCCTTCTGTTTTCATCCCTATCCTCATCCTTCTGTTTCTCTCAGGCCTCATCACCTGAAGTCTCCTCCTCTTGACTCTCAGTCTCTTTCCTCAGTGCTAAGTTTCCTTTCATGATTTTCTCTCCAAACAACATACTCAGACATGTGGATGCATGATGGCTACATTTATGCATGTATGTGTGTGTTGTACATGCCTGTACCTGTTTGTGTGTGTGCACGTACATATGGAGCCCAGAAATCACTGTTAGGTGTCTTCATCCATCCCTGCCTTATTTCCTGAGAAGGGAAACCTACTGAATCCACTAGTTAGCTAGCCTAGCTCTGGGGTTCAGCGGGACTCTGTCCTTCTGCTGGGATTATATGGAATAATTGTCTTTCTGAATTCAGCTTATTTCCCTTAGTACAAACTCAATTTGTGTACTGTACCACATTTTCTCTATCCGGCCATGAGCTGATAGGCAATAAGTGGCTTCCATTACTTGGCTACCATAAGTAGCATCACAAAAAAAAAAAAAAAAAAAAAAAAGGCACACAGCTATCCACCCTGGGTGCTGAATGTGGTTCCTTTGTGTATAAGACAGGCATAATTGGATCAAGCACCATTTCTGTTTTTGCATTTTTGAAGGCTCTCTAAACCTACTTCCGTGATGGCTGCAGTAATTTACATTCCTGCCGGCGTCTAAAGAATCTGTTTCTTCTTCATTCTTGCTAACATTTGATGTCCTTACTTCACGGGATTTTCTTTCCTGTTGGTGATTGCCAGTCTGATCTCAGTGGCATGAAGCTGAACATAGTTTTGGTTTGCATTTCCTTGATGGCTAGTGATATTGAACATGTTTTCATGTATTTGTTGGCCATCTGTACTTCTTTTGAAAAGTGTTCAAATCATTTGCTTGTTGATTGATTAAATATTTTTACTCTTCTGAGTTTTCAGTCTTTCTGTTCTCTATATATTATGAATGTTTAATTCTATCAGACAAATCCTTTTCTCTGGTTGGTGTCTTTATTCTTGTGACTCCTGTGTGTGATGTCAATTCTATTTTTTTTTTTTTTGAGCTACAGGAGTTCTATTAAGAATATGCCTAATCCTGAATCTTCATTGGTTCCCTGTTTTTCTCTGGTAGTTTCAGTCTGTACATGAAGGTATTTTTAGTTGTTTTTTTGTACAGGGTAAGATATAGGAATCTAGTTCATTCATTCTTTTTATTATTATTAAACTTATTTTTTTATTCACTTCATACCCCAATCCCAGACCTTTTCTCCTTTCCTCCTAGTACCAACCTCCCACCCTCTTCCCCTTTTCCCTTACCCCTTATCCTCAGAAAAGGGGATTCCTGCTCACCACCCCCCATCCCCCACCCCTGACAGCACATCAAGTCGCATCAGGACTAAGCACATCCTCTTCCTCTTTCCAGACAAGGCAGCCCCACCAGGGGAAAGTGATCCAAAAGCAGGCAACAGAGTCCATGTTAGAGACCGCCCTCACTCTAATTGTTAGGAAACCCACATGAAGACCAAGCTGCTCATCATCTACAAACGTTAGGGGGCCTAGTTCCAGTCCATACCTGCTCCTTGGTTGGTGTTTCAGTCTCTGTGAGCAACCATGGGCCTAGGTTTGTTGGCTCTGCTGGTCTTCTTGTGGAGTCCTTGTCCCTGCTGGGTGCTTCTATCCTTCCCCCACTCTTCCACAAGACTCCCTGAGTTCTGCCCAATGTTTGGCTGTGGGTTTCGGAATCTGTTTCAATCTGCTGCTGGGTAGAGCCTCCCAGAGGACAGTTATGCTAGGCTCCTGTCTGCAAATACAGCAGAGCATCATTAATATTGTCAAGTGTCGGCTCTTGCACATGGGGTGGGTCGCAGATTGGGTCAGTCATTTGGCCACTCCCTCAACCTCAGCCAGCCTTCCTAGAACCAGGCTGAGAGCAGATTGGAAAGCTAGAATCATGGTTTTTATTTGATTAGGTAGTTAGGAGCCTACCTCTGGGAGTAAAGTCACAATAGTATGTCCACTTCATGGCAGCATCTCCCAGTTTTTCTTTTTATTGAGGAAGAAGACATGAGAGTGGAAAACTGTCAGGGGTACCCAAGTGGAGAGCTCAATGCAAAATATAGCTAAAAGCCTTGGTTTCCTAGAGATGGCATTGTGACCAAGAGGATGTAAAACCTTTGGCTGTGTCCTCATGAAGACTGGCTTAGTCAGTTCTCAACTCCTGGGATGAGCACCTGCAGATGGGAAGGGGAATGTGACCTGGAACAATCCTGGGGCTTCTTCGGTCCATAATTCTCGAACCATGTGCCTTTGCTGTACTTGTTACACTGCACCGTAATACCACTTGTTTTGTTTTCATCTCAGCAGCCTCTATTTGAAATATTTCTAGGTGATTGCTTTATTTCATTTTGATAGAAAATGAAATGAATCACATATGCTCTTTATACTAATATATCTCTCAAACAACAGAAATCTTATTTCTATATTAGCAATGGCATTTCAATGTATTTTAACTTTGTATTGTAACCCACTTGCTATGGAATTTTACTCTCATAATCTACTAGATTATACTGCATAGAAAACTGACAAATGTTTAATTTATAGAACATTTTACAACTGGTTTTTAGAAGTTAAATCACATTTTTGTGAGAATGTTTATTCATAAATTCTGCATATAAAAATACCCACTTTTCCAACAAACTTATAAAACATTAAATGTAAACATAATTTAAAAGGATACACTTTACTGTGAATGTGTAAGTTTTTAAAACAAGGTATCCTTTTTAGAAACAATTACTACATAAAATTTCTACATGAATTGTGAATCCAAATAGTAAGTTTTATTATCATCCAGCAGCTTCACCTAATTTCTACTGTGCACAGCTTCAAAGAACTAACCTAAAAGACAATCAGAGCATGGATCCCCCTGCTTGACATTACCTATACCCCCACACTGTCATTGGGATTCATACAAACACCTTATACATTTGACAAATAGTCAGTGAGTTTGGGTAGCAGTTTGAGATGGCCTGGATATATCCTAGGCCAAAGAAGCCTAGCCCAGCAGTTTTTCTCAAAGGTACAAACATAGACCTTACCTTGAGGGTCTGTTAAAAATGCAAATTTGGAAGCTATAATCTGAATTACAGATTCTGTGGCTCTGAAGTTAGCCCCAGGAATTTGCATTTAGTGAGTCTAGTGAGTTCCCAGGGTATGCTGGTTTTGTATTTCTCTGACCATGTTTAGAAAGCCACGAACAGAAAGGCAAAGACGAGAAAACAGAAAGCCACAACACAGAGAGAAGAGCCGTGACTGAGGCATGTTCAGAATGTTGCAGCAGCCCATGCAAGAGACCCAGGGTAGAGAGACTGAGTGTGTGTGTTGGGGGAGGGGGTCGTTTCTGCAGGAAATACTTGACAATAACATTTACTATAGTTACTTTGTATCAGATACCATGTGCACTTTACCTCATTCAAGGCTTGCAAAATTTCTCAGTGGTTAAGTTGTGTTATTATACATTCTCAGTGGGGAAAATGAAGTTTAAAGAGGCTTAGTAACTTTTCCAAGGTTTGGTGGTAGATTGCAGAGCTAGGATCCCAGCCATGCTCTCTGAATCATAAGCATCCTGCTCTTTGTGATCACCTGGACAGGGGATGAGCAGTTGCTGTACCAAGGAGGAACAGCCCTGTGCAGACAAGCTGGAGAGTAGGTAGACAAAGTCTCAAGGGTTGCAATCAGTCTGAGGGGATGGCTCAGTCTATAACATGCTTGTCATGCAAGCCTGAGGACCTGAGTTCAGTTCCCAATACGCATGTAAAAGCCCAGGTACCAGTGGAACATGCTGGGGAGATAGAGACAAGAGGTCAGCAAGACTAACCTAATCAGCAAACTCCTGCCAGGTCCTGGTGAGAGGCTCTGTTTTATAAAACAAGATAGACTGTTCATCTGAGGTTCATCTGTGTGTGTCACACACACACACACACACACACACACAGAGACCAATTGTGATTCATGCCTTGTTGGACAAGGTGAGAGTCTCTGAAGGCCATGGAGAGATTGAAAGCTTGAAGGACCAGTATAGAAGTAAGGAACCATTAAGCAGGGAAAGCATTTAAGTGGCTTTGTAAAAATCTGGCCCAGCAAAGAGCTGGACCAGAGGGCAGATGTGTGAGCTACAAAAGAAACACTAGCTACCAAGGGACTTGAAAAGTTTTGTGTAGTAAGGGAGAGAGGCCAATGGGTTATATCAGCCAATTTTAGACTGGTTTGACTGGATAGACAAGAGGGGTAGGAGAAACACAATTTCAGATGACAAGAATGGTATTCCAGTACCATCTGAAAGCGATAAAGCCACATATGTAAGTTGTTTCATTGCTAGTCATGAATAAGTACAAAGTATGAGTGCTGTACATGATGTTGTATGTTTGTACTCAGTACTCAGAAGGTCAAGGCAGGAAGATCAGGAATTTGAGACCAACCCGGGCCATGTGGCAATTTTCAAGACAGCAATACCTTGTCTCAAGAGAGGGAGGCAAAGAGGCAAAGAGAGAGTATGAACTTCATTTTAATATTTACTTATTTACTTAACCCAATATCATCGAGATCACATGATGCCAGCATGCCCTGGATGTCTACATCTTAGGCTTTAAGAATGTACTTTACATATAATGCATCTCTACGTGGGGTAGCCATATCAGGTGCTCAGTAGCCATATGTGGCTAGCAAGCACAACTCTGGTTACTGCCTGTCCTCTTAGCTTCATCCTCACCAACAGTTGCCATGCAACCATATTTACCACAGTTGGAAAATTACCAGGAAACCATCAATGTACCCATATGTTCCCATTTTCTTCAGCTTTCCCTGTGCCTTACCACTATGGACTCACACAAAAATCTCTCCAGGTTTAGCTGATGACTCTACATTTCACAGAATCAGAAACCAAGGTGAAAGTCAGTTAAGAAAGATACCCCGGCTTGTGTGTCACCATGTTTGGCAGGGTTCTGACGTATTTTAGTACTCTGATGTTCAAATTTTTATGTAGTAGACTCAAAATAAAAGCATAGCACATAATCAATTGTAGCTCAGCACCTTCTGTAAATTCAGAAAACTAATATTTAGGTAGTTTGAGCGAATGGCTCGTGGACACAACTATCAGGCAACGGCACGACTGAAATTGGAAAAACAATGTGCGGCTGGGAGGATGGTTCAGAGCGCAAGAATGCTTGCTGCCTAAGCACAAAGACCTGAGTTTCAGTCCCTGGCATCCACATAAAAGCTAGCAGTGAGCACGCATGTGCCTTTAACTGCAGCGCTACCAGGGGCAGAGATAAGGGGACTCCGGGTCTTGCTGATTGCCAACCTACCTCCTGGCTCAATGAGAGGTCCTGTCTCAGAGGAATTCGATGGAGCCTGACAGGACAGCACTCAACACTCTTCAGGCTTCCATGTGTGTACACGGCAATGTGCACTTAGACAAGCACGTTTATACACAACACACGTGTGCCCATATACAAACACACACATACAGAAATTATATAGAATTGTCAAAGAGAAGCAACTTAGTAAAACCATCCAAATGGCTAGACACATAACTTTACTATGCTACAAATATTTGCACTGCGTCATAAGAACATTCAATACATAAGAATAAGAATTTGGAGGACTCTAAATATTCAGCTGCTGCCAAAACTTCTATTATTCTTTAGAAATATATTTGGATCCATATCAAAGGAGCCATAAAAATATAATGACATTTATGAGATATTTGACTATTTGAATAGTTAGTGATTAAAGCGTTCTTAATTTTTAATGGTGTGATAATATCTGATTCATCCTGTGTGTGACGGGGCTCAGCCCTCTTTTATTTACCCCCGTGATGCTCTAATCCCCACATGGTAGACTCAAAATAAAGGTGCACAAAGAATCAGTTCTAGCTCAATATTCTAACTCAATACACTCTAGCACACGGATAGCCTATGTTTAAAGTCTTTACTGTTAAAGTGATAGCGAGAGATGTTTGCAGGTATGATAGCATAAAACCTGGAAAAGTTTTCACACAAAAAGCACAAGTGCAGACATAAATTAGGAGGAAATGTAAACAAGGTAAGATCGGCTGTGAACTTCATACTTGTGAAGTTAGGTAAGATGTAAATGAAATTCATTGTGTTCTTTTATTTAAGCTTACATGTAGGCTTCGAGTTTTCAGCAAACCTACTTTATTCAGGGTCCTTAAACACCTTACCTCCCTTCTAACTTCCTCCTCTTCCCTATACACACCTCAGATAGGCAATTAGTAGGGGAAAGGGCTGTAGACCCGTTTTATTTACTTCCTAGTGATTAGGGCCGATGAGTCTTTAGGGAATTACCAAAGTTAGTCCTCAGATGGCCAGCAGTCCAGTCCAAAGGCCAATAGCAAGCAGCAACATGAATCAGCACAGCAAATCAGCAAAATCTGCAAGACTCAGCTGGATTGCCTCAAGAAGTCCTCTGGAACGTTTCTCTCTTCGAAGTCAAGTGATGAAGCATGAAGATCAGCACAGCGATATCGATCCTAAAAGTGATGTCTCACTGTGCCTGGGCCTCCATGTATCTCCTCTCCTCAGAGTCCACCAACAGATGTCCTCAGCTGGCCAAAGTCCACCCCTCACACGAGAGAGGTCACAGAAAACATCACGTGCCCTCTCACAAGCCAGC